TTTAGCATTTTAGTTAAGCAAGTTTGTTGGGTTTAAACAGTTTAAAGTGGTGTGTAATCAAAATGAAAGGGTTGTTAATCCCGTGTTTAACAATTGTAACATTAATTTTAATTTTGGAAAATAAAGTATTTATTGATTTCTCGAATATTTGAGTTTTTATTAGGAACAGATTAATAAACATTTTGTTAAAGAATGCTTTATAAAGGTACATGTACCTTTATCGTAAAGGTACATGTGGTCTAAATATGAATTTTAAATCAGCACACACCGATCTATATCAGGGTATATAAGGGTCATCATGTGACGATATTTTAAGAAATTCATTGGCTAATTAGCTCATGAATTATTCATGAATTTTAGAAATATATATATATATATATATATATATATATATATATATATATATATATATATATATATATATATTCTATATTGCACTACACTGCATTAACCTGCATGTATAGACTGTGCACATTAACCTGCATTAATTAGACTGTACCTAGCTGTAAAGGCTTTAAATTTACAATAACAGTAATATATAGCAAATAACAAAATTCAATTTTAATTAAATAGAGCTCTGGAAAATACAGATTTCAAAATCCATGCATGTAAGACATGTAAAGAGGGTGGGAAAGGGGGAGGGGGGGTGGGGTATGGGTCACATTTCACAATGAAAAAAAAGCTGTTCCACAATTCACATGTCTTAGAAAAGCAATTTCACTAAAAACTAGATTATAATAAAAATAAGGGCCTATAAACAAAAGACCTATGAAGTTTTTACTCTTGTGCAATTGAGTGAGGTCAATCATATAAATTATTATCGCGTATGTATTATGTCTATTATAAAATAGATTGAAATAAACAAAGCAAAATCACATTTCACAAAACAGACATCCTTAATTCTCATTTTACGGAGCATTTTTATTGACAATCACGCCTCACGGCTGTGGAACAAATCACATTTGACGACACTAAAATCAAGCATTTCACATAAACAAATATTGATCATTCACAGCTCACAAAAATACCCTTTCCCACCCTAGTGCTGTGCGCCGGAGTTGCCAGAGTTCTGCCGGAGCTCCGGCAGTTTTTCCGACGCCAGAGCCGGAGCAGATTTTGTATGCTGGAGCCCGGAGCCAGAGTTCCGTTTTCCCAGCTCCGGCAAAATGACAATTAAGAAAACAATATGAAATGAGACAAATGTCAAACGATTGTTAGTTACTGCAAACTGCCAATTGCTGTTAATGAATTCATCATAGACTCAAACTGCCACAGCCCACAGGAACAGCGTCGAAAAGCTGTAATACAATCGCAACTTACAAACGTCATGCTTTCATGAAGCCATCTGACTTAGCGCTACATACTGTAGTCTGTGTATTCATGCCTTGTAGATAACGAAAAAGTACAAAACAAATAAATATCAACCTTTTGAAAATGACAGAGTACTTTGTTTGCGTGCGAACAATTGCGCTGCGTGGAGTCTGAGAGTGTTAGCGTCATGCCTCGCATCATACCTTGTGTCAAAGATTTTTCGAGGCTAGTTTCCATATAGATATTTTCTGCGTGGTTTAAGTGTTTTCACTGTTTTGTTTCCTGAGTTATGTTATCTGATAATTAGGAAGCACGAAAAGGGTTATTCATAATAATATTAACAAATGTTCTCTGATCGTAAAACATTTATTTAATATTTTATGATGTGGGCGGAGCCGGAGCTCAGAGCTGTAATTCGGCTGGAGCCGGAGATGAAAAACCGGAGTTTGCACAGCACTATCTCACCCTCTGTAAAGTACATTTATTTAATTGTTACTTTACCACATTTCCAGTTTAACATATCCATTGTTCCATTTTCACTTTTACATGGCTTGGCAAAAAAGTCCTAGAATATAACAACCACATCATAAATATGTCACAGTATGCATGGTCCGGAGTGTGAATTGCAGTCATTCAACTTTTCAGGTTGAATCTTACATGTTGAAACTGGTTCTCCAATTTGATATGCATTACAATTCCCCTCTATTAAAGTTCAATCTTTAAAATGACATGTGTCACATCTCAGAATCCAGGAAGTGGCATTCAAACACTTCATTTCAAAATTATATAAGAGCATGACTACAGTATAGGACCTGCATGCAAATTATAAAATAATTTGTTTAAAAGGTCATTGATTTATATAATATAAAATTGTATACAGATGATAATTTGAAGTTCCCGCCATGTTAGTTCTACCCACGTACTTTTGGATGATTTGCTTTCCATGCTTTAAGTTCTTCTATTAATCTTTGTCTTGCATCAACTCTGATATCTACTGATGCCATATTCAATACTAATATTTGTGATTTGTCAAGAGCAATGCACGTACGAGGATGCACGGTAATTATGACGGTAATGCACCGAATTTGAAATCTTCTACTTCACCCCTTCGCCCTGGAACATACCTCGGAACATACCCTGGAATAACAGATTCCGCAATACTTAGAGTAAACCGAACAAAACGTATTGAACTAGAAGTTACTACCACAGGGTGAGTGCTGCTGTATAGTGGACAAAAGTCTAAAATATACTCCATGGCGGCAGGTACAAAACGCAGGTTGCAGGTTGCAGGTTGGAATTTTGCAGGTTGGGAATTTTGCAGGTTGAGAATTTTGCAGGTTGGGAATTTTGAAGGTTGGAAATTTTGGAGGTTGGAATTTTGCAGGTTGGGAATTTTGCAGGTCGCCAGGAATTTTGCAGGTTGATGATGCAAACTTAAAATTACACCACTATAAAGTATTCTAGTATAATTTAATTGTGTACTGATTGCAGTCTGACTCCTTGTCGGCACTTTTGATATCAGCCTATCCTGCTACCATGTTCCTAGCTTCTGCTCTAAGGAGTGGCCATCACCCTTGTGAAAACATTCAAAATGACCAGATTGGCTTGGACCTTCAGGGGGACGGATGTTTCGATTGTTGTGAGGAGCCAACATGACGTGGTGGCAGTTCAGAAAATGCCTGAATGAGGTGTCTCTCTTCTGCACCCACTTATGAGAAGTCCATTCAAGCCCCCAATTACCGTATCATTAGTCGAGAGTTAGTTAACTTTTAACAATATTCTAGTATAAATGCCGCCAGGTCATGTAGGCACCTCGCCACAATCAAAACATTCGTTTCCCTGTAGGTTCAAGCCAATCTGGTCATTTTGAATGTTTTACTGTGATGATGGCCACTAGCCTTAGAGCAGAGGCTAGGAACATGGCAACAGGGTAGGCTGATTAGTTGATATCAAAAGCGCCGACAAGGAGTCAGACTGCAATAAAAGTTATACTAGAATACTAAAAAAGTGGTGTAATTTTAAGTTTGCATTATCAACCTGCAAAGTTCCTGGCAACCTGCAAAATTCCAACCTGCAAAATCCCCAACCTGCAATATTCCAACCTGCAAAATACCCAACCTGCAAAATTCCAACCTGCAAAATTCCCAACCTGCAAAATTCCAACCTGCAACCTGCAACCTGCGTTTTGTACCTGCCGTACTCCATGGTGCGCGGTGACAGCGGTCAGACAATAATTGTACTTACATCAAGTGTAAGATGTCCTTCTATTAAGCCCGGCGCACACTAAGAGCTATGTGCTTAGCAAAATGTCATTTGTGATTGTTGGCGTAAGGAGAAAGCTCTAGTGTGCGGTGCACTTTTGTAAGCTTTTCATCACTCGTGACACCTAAGACAAATATCCAACGTGTTGAATATTTTTTGTCACGAATGTACATTTCCTGCACGTGTGCGCGCTCGAAAAGCTATCACCTTTCACTGTAGATCGAATAGGCATTCACAATAGGCATTAATTATTTTCCTTTACAATGAAACGTGATAGCTTTTCGAGCGCGCATACGTGGAGGAAATGTTCATTCGTGACAAAAAATAGTCAACATGTTGGATATTTGTCTTACGCGTCACGAGTGACGAAAAACTTACAAAAATCACCGCACACTAGAGCTTTCTCCTTATATTTTGCTAAGCACATAGCTCTAGTGTGCGCCGGGCTTTAGGGGCTCAAGGCTTTACATAAACAAGACTCGAAGTTCATCGTTCGATGTGCAATGAAGGGTGAAATGAACAACGATAGAATTAAAGAGGTTATGATGGATAATATAATCACTCATCCATCGTTTCGTCAAACTCTCAGTAACGTTTTGAATCAGTCTCCCACTGGCACAATAACAGCCGCCAGTGATACTTCGTTATCATCTAATCAATTATCATCTTGTGAATTATGTTATTTTGTTAAATACTTCAACTAAGCACAATTAGAGAATGACTCGTTATAATTATAGCATTAATACGCACATATATGCTGCTTTCCTTATATCAAACTCCG